TCTTTGTACTTGTGGACCACACTGCCCATGGGGTTTTCTTGGCAAAGCTGCCATTTCCTTCTCCATATGTGTGTGACTGTGTGTGTGTGTATAGTATATACTTATATGTGTATATGTTGTCTTCCTGATGGAATATAAGCTTCTTGAGGGCAGATACTGTTTGTCTTTTTATCCCCAGTGCCTAGTACAGCACTGGAACGCAGTAGTGACTTAATAAATACTTGATCGATTGACTTAAATGATTAGGAGTTTTACTTGATATGAACCCTAAATTTAAGTCATCGATTCCATCCATCATTTCTGGTTTTGCCCTCTGGGACTATGCTAGAAAATTTGGTTTCTCTTTGACATACATTCAAAGACAGCCATCATGGCCTCCCTGAGATTTCTTTTCTCCAGGCTAAGCATTCCTAGTTTAAAAAAAAATTGGTTCTCATATGGAATAGAATTGAAGCCCTTCACCAATCAATTGTTCTCCTTTGGATGTTCTCCAGCTTATTGATATGGTGCCTAGAATTGAGCACAGTGATGTAGCTGTGGCCTGACTAGATCAAAACATAATAGAATGATCATCTTTTTACTTTTGGGAGCTACGCCCAAGATCACATGAGGTTTTACTTCCTGCTATATGAATGTTGATTCGTATTTGGTTTTATAATCAACTAATATCCCCATATCATTTTAGAGGAACTAATACTTAATAATCTAGCTTTTCCTATCTTATACTTGTATGATTTTAAATTTATCCTTATTAAATTTCATCTTATTTGATTCTACCCAATTTTCTAGCCAGTCAAAATGTTTTAGGTTCCTGATTTTGTCATTCATAGTATTAGCTATCTCTTCTAACTTTGTATCATCTGCAAATTTGATAAGGATGCTGTCTGTGCCTTTACCCAAGTCATTGATAAAAATGTTAAATATGCATTTCTTGTATTAAAAGGACAGTGATGTAATTAAATAAAGAAACCTGATAGCCATGTAGGAAGGAGTGCCTGGGATTAGGAAGTAGAGCTGTAGTTACCTGGGAATGATATTGGATACTATTCCTGACCACGTAGTTTTCAGGAGAGACCAAGTAATACTTTTAATTCTTGTATGAAATCAATGAATACTGATCTACAGCAAAGTTTTTATTGTGAATGAAAAGCTATTCAGAATTATGGGGAATTTTGTTTCCAGTCCTTGGGACCATTTATGGCTGGAGGGTTGATACAGGACCTGAAAGGGTCATGGCTTAGTAAACATGAGCTGGGCATATTGATACCAACTTACTATGATTTATTTTGCTTATTCTTATTAAAACCTGTATACAGGTATGTGGATAGCTAGGTGGCTCAGTCCTGAGTTCAAATCTGGCCTCAGACACTAAGCTGTGTGACCCTGGACAGGTCACTTAACCTTGTTTGCCTCAGTTTCCTCTTCTGTAAAATGAAGTGGAGAAGGAAATGGCAAACCACTTTAGTACCTTTGCCAAGAATACTCAAAATGGGGTCATGGAGAGTTGCTCATGACTGAAATGAGTTGGACAACAAATACAAGTATGTCTTTCTAAATGACTCTAAAACTAGTATAGCAGGTATGAGATCAAAGGGAGAGAGGGGGTGTTCAGTAGAAAGATTGAGAGTCAGTGGATTTGGATTTAAATCACAGCTCTACCTCCTAACTACCTTGGGCAAACATGGGCAAGTTACATGATCATTTTGGGACTGTTTTCCTCATTTGTAAAATGTTGGATTAGATGACTTTTGAGGTTCCTTTTAACTCCAAATTTATGATCCTATAATGGGGAGGGTAGTACCACACTGAATTGATTGGTGGAAATACTAACCCCTACCTCTAGATATATAAGAAACGGAAAAAACCAATTGGGAGAGTGACAGCTTGCTTCACTGAGAACAAGGGAGAGGTGTAGGCAGCTTGACAGCTACTCCAGAGTACCCTCTTGTGAAGAATTCAGAGAAATAGTGGAAGACTTCTATAAAATTATGCAGTTCAGAGAAAGCTAGACCAAAAGAAAAGTGTTCACAGTGATTCGTTATATAGTTAAAGTTAACAATACAAGCAACAAATTCTTGTTAGGTGCTCAGTAAAAATGACAAAAAGGGTCATGAACATGGGAGCTGCTATGTTAAGGTCAATAATATTCATTTTTGGAATTGGAGTTAACAACTGTAAAGTAATAAAAGTTTATAGACACAATCATTTACCTTCTTTGTTACTTGTTTCATTTTGCATGTTTGTTTTTCTTAACTTTTGTTCTTGTATACATATTTAAATACCTATAATTGTCAGTATTTCAATAGTTCGTGATTTCATCAGTGTGGGAACTTTTTCTGCTTCTGTAGATCATTCATTCAAGAAGCATTTATTTAATACTGAACCTATTTTGTGCCAGGGATTGTGAATATAAAGATAGCAACAGACTTTTACCCTTAAGGAGTTTACATTTTATTGTGGCCTAACAACATAAGGGTATGAGCAAATACAAATTAGAAACAAAATGATTTTTTTCTTGGGGGGGCATGGCAACTAGAGGATCTGGGAAGGCCTCATATAACCAATCAGCTAGTGTTTGTTAAGTGCATACTATATACTAGGCACCAGGAATATAAAGATAAGCTCAAAATGGTTCCTCCTGTCAAACAGCTTACATTCAATCTTGGGAAATCTATGTATGCATATAAGGAAATACAAAATGTAAATATAAGGTAATTTCTTAATGGAGGGAGGTATAAGCAGCTAGGAGCTGTTAGGGATCAGGAAAGGCCTCATAGAGGAGGTGATATAAGGTAATCCTTGAAGAAATCTAGGAAATTCCATTACATTCACATACTATAAAATGTGTTTAGCCATTCTCCATTTGATAGGCACCTTAGTTTCCAATTCTTTGTCAACACAAAAAAGAGCTGCTGTAAATATTTTTGTATATATGGGTCTTTTTCCCCATTTTTTGGTCTCACGAGGGTATAGGCCTAGCTGAGGTATCACTGGGTCAAAGAACATGCATAGTTTAGTAAATTTATGGGCATAGTTCCAAATTACTTTCTGAAATGATTATACCAATCCACAGTTGCAGTAACTGCAATAATGTGCCTTTTTTCCCACAGCCTCTCTGACATTCTTTAAAAATTAAAAAAAAATTATTTTGTTAAATATTTCCCAATTACATGTAAAGTGATTTTTAACAATCATTTTTAAAAATTTTGAGTTCTAAATTCTTTCCCTTCCTCCCACTCCTTCTTCCTCCTTGAGAAGGAAAGCACTTTAATTTCAGTTATACATGTGAGGTCATAGCAAAATATTTCCATATTAGCTATGTTGCAAAAGAAAACAATAAAAATAAAGTTTAAAAAAAAGTATGCTTCAATATGCATTTAGAGTTCATTAGTACTCTCTCCAGAGATGGGATACCTTTTGTTCATCATAGGTCCTTTGGAATTGTCTTGGATTTGTGATATATAAAAAGTTTGAGAGACAAAATTTCTAGGTAATTAATCATTTTATTAATCATAGCTAGTAAATAATTAATAAAAGAATGGTCATTTGGCTGTCTGTCGTGAACCAAAGACAGATCATGGTGTCCTATTGACACTTATATGCCCTTGGAAGAGTGGGTGTTCCCAACAGACAGCAATCGATTCTGGTTGGTTAACAATTAATGAGAAAATGAATATTATAATGAGAGGTGGAATTATTCTAATGAGGGGCTGGGGAATGTGACTTTGATTATGCCATTCTTATTAATCTCTACCCAGACTTCCCCCAGCCTGACCAATCTAGTAAAAAGATCTACCCTCAAGGAAGCCTGAGTTAAACACTTGAGCTGCCCCACCTGGGTGGGGTCTGAACAAGATTGAGGAGAAAGTTAATACAGTCTCATTATCAGCAATGTCCTTTGGATGCTGGCTGAATAACCTACAAGGGGCTGATTTCTGCATGAGGAAACAGAAAGGGGAAAACCTTAGTTCTAATTCAATAATATGATAATTATTAATATCAGAAAGAAATAATAATTTCTCTCAGATCATTATCTCAATCAGAGTAGCTAAGTCTTCACAGTTGATCATCCTTACAATATTGCTGTTACCATGTATAATGTTCTCCTGGTTCTGCTCTCTTCACTTTGCATGAGTTCATGTAAGTCTTACCAGGTTTTTGTGAAATCATCCTGCTCAGAATTTCTTATATGTTCAGTCATTTCAACTCTTTGTGACCCAATTTGGGGTTTTCTTGTCAAAAATACTGAGGTGATTTGCTATTTCCTTCTCCAACTCATTTATAGATGAGGGAATAGAGGCAAACAGGGTTAAGTGACTTGCCCAGGGTCACACAACTAGTAAGTGTCTGAGGTCACATTTGAATTCGGGGAGATGAGTATTCCTGACTCTAGGACCTGCACTCCATCCACTATGCCACCTAGCTGCCCAAGTTAACATTCTATGAATGTATAATTAATAACAGTCAAAAAATTAATGATCAACTATTTAGGATCCCTCTTAAATTTCAGTCAAAATAATTTCTTTGTCTTTATAATTAAGCATATTTTCTGAAAACTAACATGGTTGCTCATTCTTGGGGAGCTAAAATAAAAAAAAAAAAGGATACTATGCCCAATAAATGTTGTATATTCCTCCTGTCATGGGGAATGTATTTTTTACACATTTTGCTTTGGTGAATAAATGTAATATTGCAGGATACCCTTGGGCATCTTTTAAGAACTTAGGTTTCTGGTGACAGGGCTTGCTGGCCTGGGCACTTTAAGTTGCCTTCTTTTCCTTTCTATGATTTTTGTTCTCATGAACCCATGTGCACAAAGTCAGATTGTTAATCTTCTCTATTTCCAGTTGAGCTGACATGAACTTAAGAAACTTATGTGTAAGGAGGGAATTGGGGTGTTCCAATGAGAAGATAGACCCTGATATTTTTATGACTACTCTGTGGATATAGATAATTTTCTCTATGTTACCTATATTGAATGACTGACTTTTAATTAATAGAGTCTGTTCACCTGGAACAAGAGGAACCCTTCCTTCCTGTGTTTCACACGCAAATTCCTCCAGAAGAATATGAAAACTGTATGGAGCAAGCCAGGCAAGGTTTGTTTGATTTATGGGGTCATGCCCATTGATAGCATATTTTAGCCATAATTGACTGAAAATATAGACTTATATAATTGAGTTTTATTTGAAGTCTTTTAAAATTGCATTCATTTATATCATGTGATAGTTTCAATGGAATGAAAAAATGCTATATTTCATTAAAAATATATAACTTAAATCAGCAAATAAAAGCCATGTATTTTCCATCTTTTATGGTCATTCCTCCTCCTCTCTCAAAAGCAAATGGATCATGCTACCAAAGGGAGTAAGAGTAAAAATAAAACAGATTCCAGATGGTGAGGCATCAACAAAACTTTAGTTTGCTCAGAGTCTAGTAATTCCAAATCCATAAATAATCTTCTTAAAAAGTGTTCACAAAGAAATAAAATATAAATATTTCATCCTTCCCCAGAGAGTATTGGTTGCTGATTCAAACATTTTCCTCAAACGATCACACACTCATTTTTGACTTTGAGAATTAGCTATAAATATATTGGTGATATTTCAGCTTAATTCATTCTAGTGAGAAGGCCTGAAGTTTCTAGCACAGGATGTCTTCTAAGATGAAAGTAGTTTTTAACCAATTTTTTCTCTAGATGTTAGTATTAAAGATGAAGTTTTTGCAATTTAATGTACTTTTATATGACCTGAGCAGGGTAGACTCCTTTGCCCTTCTAGGGGGACTCCTATGACCTTTATGAGGAAGTTTGGAGGTCAGATTGACTGAAGGATTTATTTGGCAATTAGGATGGCCAGTTGAAGACAGGAAGTGTGATATAGGAAGTTTGGCATAAAGGATATCCCTAGGACACCCAAGTGGGATTCCTCTGGTGCAATAACTTTACTGATTAGAGACTGAGGAGGAAGATTTACTCAAGTTCCTTGATAAATAGGGAAACAAAAACTGAAGAATTGAGAGGACAACTTAGAGTTGTCGCAGCATTTTACCAAGTGTATTCCTGTGAAACTGGGTATAAAATCTAGAAAGTGTGTCTTTAGCTGTTTCTAGTAAAATTAAGCAGGAAACACCAGACATAGTGATAAGACTGAAGTCTGAGTTGTTAGCTTTTACGTATGCGTTGTGTTTTTAATGAAGAATTCATAAAGCAAAACACTAGTCTCATGTGTGTATGTGTGTGTGTGATGGTGATGGTTGTTAAACAGTGGTACTTAACTGCCCTATGATCAGTCTTACCTCACCTTTGTCCAGTAGCTCACTCCTAAATTAAATTTTTCTATTTTATATCTACTGGTTCCTGGAAAAGGTCTATCACCTTTGATGCCTATAGTTGTAACTCATCTTAAGCAAAAATTCTACTCACGACGTAGGGGCCAACACTTAAACTTATCTTAGGCAATAATTATGTCTAACAGTTATACTATCCCCACAATAGAGAACTCCTCTCTTCATTAGAGATTTCAGCTTGAGTATAGAAAAAACAAAAGCGTTTTACTAAGAATTTCTTTGAGGGTTATAGTCAGATGTCTCACTTTTAAAAAGTTGAATGTTCATGTAATACTGGAATCTCTTAAGATTTTTCTGTTTATGATAGTAAATGTTTGACATGGAATTTTTAAATGACATTAATTAGAAAACCTCTGCTTCTTTCATATCAGGGTCTGCATATCAAAATGAAAGTAATAAATCATTGATTAAACCAGAAAAGAAGCCACAGAGAGAAAACTATGGTGAACTCAAGGGTAAAAAAAATCAGGATTTCATTAAGAGAAATATAGAGGTATGAATTTAGAATTTGTAAAAGTCTCAGATTTGGAATGAAATTAGTTTTTAAAAATTGAGCGGTTTACAGACTGCTGTTAAATGACTGTCTCTGATAATGTTTTATAATTTGTTAGCAAGTACATGTGTAATATTTTGTAGTAGTAAAGTACTGAAATTTATTTCATCAGGTAGGATTGAAAATCTGATTCATCATTTGAGCCATATCATGGCTTTCCTTTTTTTTCTATCAAAATAAAGTTAATTGAACACATGTAAAATATGTTGGTCTGGTATCTTCAATACCCCATCTAGCTCTAAAATCTGAAAATCCTGTGACATTCTTAAAATCTGAAAGCTTGGTCACATACTGCGTTATGTGCCCAATAGGTAGTGATTAGAAGCTCCATAGTGTATTGGAAGCAGGCAACCCAGATTGGAGTCATAGATCTGATAATCTGCCAGATTTGAACAAGCCACTTAATCAATCAGTTAGTAAACATTTATTAAGTAACTACTGTCTGCCAGACACTACGAAACATTTAACTTCTATGATCTGCAGTCGCCTTATTTCTGAAATGAAAATAATTGCATTATATACATCACAGGGTTATTATGAGGATAAATATGAGAGTATATGAAAGCACTTTCAACTATAAATCAGTATCCATAACCAATCCATCAATAAGCATTTATCAAACACTATGTGCTGGGCATTGTGCTATGCACTGCGCATACAAAAGGAGGCAAAAGACAGTCTGTGTCCTCAAGGAGCTCACAATTTAATGGTGATAATTAATAAGGGTATAAGATAAATTAAATACTGCTGCAAGAAAAGGCAGTTATAGGAGAGAGGCCTGGGAGTGAAAGATTCCAAGCAGAACCTATGGTGCTTATGGGAGTGAGCCCCTTTCCCCTCCCTCTTGGTTTTAGGCTTCAACTTGCTGATATAGCTTATCTAGGAGAATATTACTCATTTCTTGTTATTAATTGCCCTCCCCACTCATTATTTCTCCTGCTTCTCACCTCGGACAGGGTAAGGAAAACTCTAGCAGGCTGACCCCAGGCATGTGATGTCTGAGGGAAGAAATCTTTACTTGGACACTGATGTAGGACTCCCACTGGGGGTTGGGGGTGGAGAGAAACAGGTTGTGTTTCTGGACTCATCCTTTCCCCAACTCCTATAACAGCAAATAACATTAAACATAAAGCAAAGGTTTGTGGTTGCTAATTTCTTTTATATGGCAATGCGATTAACAGTTTTGGGGGAATGGGCAGAAAGCACAGGGGAAAAGGGTTCCAGAAGGGTGTTGTGCAGAATATAGTTTGCAAAAGCCTGTAGTAACAGGGTGTGTTCCTCGTTTGACTTCTTTTCTCCCTGTGCAGAGGCCAAAGATATCTCAGAGATGCTTTTTGGTTGCTGGACTCCTGTCCCTACCAACTAAGAGGCAAGAATGAAAGATGGGGAAAGGGTCTTATGAATGATCCTCCAGTATATTACAATCTGCCAGCATGGCCATGGCCCTGGCCCTGCCTGGGGTCTGCACAGTGGTGGTCAGTTTTTGTAGGAAGGAGCAGAGGAGCACAATTTCTCAACTCTATAATGTCCTTGAGGACCAATCCAATTCTCATCCTCTTGACCAGTTTCCTCTCTTCTTTTCCTTGCCTGAATTCTTTGTAAACAGTCTCAGAATATACCCAGTTTAATGATATTGGCGGCTGGTGGGTCTGGGGGAAAAAATTTCCATTTTGTAATGATGGGCTACAATGGAAAGATCTCCCTTTACCTTCAGATGTCTAGCAACAACATATAGGAAGCAGATTTTCTCATTCAGTGTTTCTATTTTAAAATTCTATTTTATTTTCTGAAGCTGTCAGTAAGAAGGGACTGCTTGTAATGACTGCAACTGTGAAATGGGCCAATGTCATTAACTCTGTACAAAGTATATCCCAACTACTGAATATAAAATACTATTGCACACAAGTTTGACCATAATAATGGGACTTTGAAAGATAGAGGTGGGAGAACTTGATAATCAACTTTTGTTTTCTGGCGCTATAAATATTCTGTTCATAAATTTTGCAGCTGGCTCAGGACTCAAAAAATGTAGTCTTTATGATGGATAAAGAAAAAAGAAGATTGATTGAATTATTAAAGGATATAGACAATGGACAAGATACACTTCCAAGTACTGAGGTATGTCGATACTGATACTTTGTGTCTTGTAGATTTGCTCATTCAGCTGTACATTTAAAAACTGATGCCATTTTGCCACCAATTTATATTGACTGTCCGAGGTTTGAGACAGCTTGGTGTAGTGGATAGAGTGCTGGACATGGATTCGGGGAACCTGGGTTCAGAGGCTGTTTCTGACTCCTCCTACTCATCTGACTACCAGGAAGTTGCTTCACCTCTCTGAGCCTTGGGAATCTCCAAGACTTTTCAGAATTATGGATTGGTTGTGCTCAGTGTGCTGATGAAGTCACAGCCTCTTGAAGTATTGATGAGGCTTACTGTGATTTTTCTCATTTTATGAGGCAGGTAGGTGGTGTAGTGGATAAGATAGAGTGCTGGATATGGAGCCAGGAAGACCAGAGTTCAAATCTGGTCTCACCTTCATCTGGCTTAGTTTGCTGAACTGTAAAATGGGGATAATAATAGTACCTATCTCTTAGGGTTGCTGTGAGGATCAAGGATATTTGCAAAGCACTTTTCAGAACCTTAAAGCTCTGTGGAAATATTAGCTCTTATCTTGTTGTTATTATTGGAAGTGGCCAGAGTTATTTTTTGTAAACTCTACAGAATTTTGTTTCAGAAGCAATCCTTAATTTTCCATTTTCTCTAGTTAAAAAGTGGTTCTATGATGACTATCTATGATCAAAACCTTACTCTGATGTTTCATGGCATCAAAGTGAAACTGAACCCCAAAAGGCATGTAATTAGAGTATAAGCTCAGTTGCATCTCACAAAACTGGAAAAGCTTTTTTGAGTACATGTACAATGATGAACTGTCTATTTGTCTCTGAAGACTCAGTCTAGCTAAAAGGATCAGAGAATCTACTCTCAAAATGGTGGCCACCACAGGATGCATTTTTTCAGCTAAAACAACTCATGAAGACTCTCTCCTAAGGCTGTAGTTTTCATCAGAGGAATGAGTCACTGATCATTGAAATGTTGGAGTATAATTATAAGATATTGGTTATTAAAATATGAATCTCTGTAAGCCATTGAATAAGCCAGTTTAGGCCAAAAAAGAGAATTCAGTTCAGACTTGGAAAATTACCTTTTGGTCATTAATTGCATATATTTCCTAGAATCATAAGATCATAGGTTTATCCCTGGAAGGAACCTCAAAGTCCATGGAAATCAGTCCCTTCATTTTACAGATAGGAAAATCGAAGCCCATAGACCTGAAGTGATTTGCCCTTCATGTAAGTAGATATGCAATGGGTAGGAGAGCCAAGATTTGAACCCAGGTCCTTTGACACCATATCCAGCACTCTTGACTGTACACATTTCCTCCCATTGTTTCTTGTTTTAGCTCACATCACTTCTAGTTAGGAAGATTCTACTTATTTTCAAATTATTATATAACTTTTTAGAATTATATGTTACTATAAATGAATCCTGCACAACTTTTCATATGTATGTATCTTTAACTTTTTTCACATTATTAAGTAAACTTAACCATAGAATGTTCTTGAGGCCTATTGCTACTCAATTGCCTTATTCCAACAGAATATGAGTTAAAATTCAGATATTGTTAATCAATCAGAACTTTCTAGTGAGTTAGCATCTGAGACTATATTGAACTTTGAATTAAATATTGGATTGAAGTAATAAATCATGCCTACATAGTTTATATTATGTATCTTCATTTATTCTATGTTCTAGACAAATGACAGACTCTCCCCTGATCTTGTCCTGCTTCACTAGCTGTGTGACTTTGGGAAAGTCACTTAACCTCTGCCTCAGTTTCCTCAACTGCAAAATAGGCATAATAATAGCACCTACAATGTAGGGTTGTCATGAGGATCGAATGAGGTAATATTTATAAAGTGCTTAGTGCCTCATACATAGTAGGTGCTTAATAAATGCTTATTCTTCCTTCTTTGCATTTGTGCCAACTATTCCCCAAACTTTCCCTTCTTTCTTATCTCTGCTTCTTGAAATCTTCTCTTCTTTTAAGGCCAAGCTCAGATGAAGTCTTTCTTTATTCCTTCCTCTTCCCTGACCCAACTTTTTACCTCTGAAGGTAAAAGTGACCTCTCCCCACCCTCCTCAATCTTTCGTAGAGCGTTGAATCTTTCCTTCCACTCTATCATACCCTAATTGGACTTCGGTCATATACCCCCAAGTAGATTGCAAGGACCTTGAGGTTAGAGTCTGGGTCATTTTTCACCTTTGTATCTCTGTGTGTAGCATCATGGCTTTGCACAGGTGTTTAATAAATATTTATTAGATTTGGTTGAATTTACAATAGCTAATTAATCTTTAGGAGGCAGTGTGGCCTGAGGAATACATAGCTGGCTTTGGAGCCAAGTAACCCCGGGTTTAAGTCCTGCCTTTGAGACTTATTGGTTATGATTCAGGGCAAGGCAGAATTTACTTCAAAGTGGATCGTTAGCCTCTCGGTGCTCTTAACAACTTTCTAAGACTTTCAGTTGCAGAGAAGGTGCCAACCTGCTCTGGCAGTTTCCTTATTGAGAATTTCTTGTACCAAATGAAATCAGAGGTCTGGTTCCTCTCATTAGTTAAGCTTTTAAAGTACCTAACTTATTCCTTGGGAATGATTTACTTACTGATAAATTTGGCCAAATTTAAAAACATTTGTGGGAGTAAAATAGTTTTTCATACTGTTGCTCTCGATAAAAGATTATTATGGCTTCCTCAGTTTGTAAAAGAGAGGCTGTCCAGATTTCAACCAGATTGTGGAAGGCTTTGGATGCCAGAGACAGGAGTTTATACTTATTTGTAGGCAAAGGGGAACCAGTGACCATTCTGAGTAGAGGAGTAAATTGATCATGGTATTGCATTAGGAAGATTACTTTGGAGAGGGTACAGATTGGAAGCAGGATTATTGATTACAAGGCTACTATGATAGTTTTTTTCCAACAAAAGGAGAGGACTTTAACTACAGTGTTGGCAGCAGGAGTAGAGAGAAGGGGACAGATATGAGGGATTTGTGGAAGTAGAAATTGATAAGATTCTTTTAATTTCTTTTTTCATATTTAGTGAAAATATATGGTGCATTCGCTGTTCTTCAGTTAGATACTTGGTTGTTCATTGTAATATCCCATTTTACAGGTCAACTTCTTTTTCATTAGAGGTTTAGGGTATTAGGTAACTCTTAGCCAATCTAAGCTTCCTTGGGTAAACTTCAGGAAATTATAGCTTTGCATGAATATCCTAGCAACTTTGCCCTTGCTTCCCTTTTAGGATGGTGAGAATGCCTGGCTCATACCAGAAAAAGGATATATGTCTGCAGCACATACAGAGCGTGAGCAACTAGCTCAAATAGATTCCAAACTGCAAGAACGATTCTTTTTAACTTCCTTGGGGTTATCCAATGATTTTTCAGGAGTGGACAATCAAACTGGTCAGGTATGGTCAATCCAAGACTATATGGATATTTTTAGTTGTCTTAATGCTAAAACTGGTTTATAGTAATTGGCTAAACTCTTCCTTGAGAATGGTTTCTGTTTAACTACTTTTTGATATGACTGCAGCAGCAGGAACAGCATCTGCTTTGAATGTCTCTTTTCCTTTCTTTCATTTCCCCCTTGTCCCCATTTCTTCTTTCCTCTCACCTCTACATGATTCGTAGAAGGATCGTCTGAAACTGTGTATGTTTGAGAAGCATGGCTGGCTTTAGCTTTCTCTTGATTGCTAAGGGGACTGGAAAGAAGGTTCATTTAGATTCCTGAAAGCCCTTTCACTGTGACCCTGGTGTTAGCAGTGTCAGCCACACAGTGTCTACTCAACTTTGTTCTTCCAGGTATTTTAACTTAGTTGTGAACAACATTGTGAAATTTACACTTTGTTCTCTTTGCATTTCCTCTTTTCATTGGATTCATTAAATAGTCTTTCTTATTCATTCCTGGTGGAAAGGTAGTGAAATGACAGAAACAAAAAAAACTTAAGGATTGTTGGGGAATTGCTAAGAAAAATGCAAAATTCATTTCCACCCTTGTCTTTAGTACTTTAGCAGGGGATGGGGAGAGGTCTCTTCTGTAGAGAAAATCTTGAAACATGGCGATTATAGTTTTCCCAAATCATGCATTGTTTGGTATTAGATACATGTGATTTCTCTGAGTCTTTCCAAAATTAGTGGGACAGATTCCTTCTCTCTACATATGGTTTTCATTAGAGTCAAGCAGACAAAAAACAGAAGAAAACAAAATAAAAATATGTAGCTGACAAAAGGGATATTTAAGCCAAGCTCTCTTTTTTTTAACAACTAAGTAGAGTCAGGTCAAATAAATCTATATATATCTTGTTCAAGTCTGTCTTATTATCTACCTCTAGTCCATTGTCTCTCTGTCAACAGTATCCATGCCTTCTTACCCTCTATGATTTCTGTCCTTGTCCTTCTGTAGGCCCTCCATGGAAGATCCATTTAACATGCCAGAGGTATTCTTCCAGAATGTTTAATATTGTGTGGTACCAACTGGTGTTTAAACCATCCACATATGCAGGATAAATAGGAGATAATTAACAGAGGGAAGGCATTCTTTCCTGCAGAAGGTGGGATTTTGGTTAAGACTAAAGGAAACCAGGGAGGTTAGTAGTTAGAGGGGATGAGGGAGAGCATTCCAGGCAGGGGGGATAGCCAGAGGAAAACATCTGGAGCTAAAATATGGCTTTGTTTGTAGGACAGCCACAACACCATTGTTACTGGGTCAAAGAGTACGCATGAGGAGTAAGGTGTAATAAGACTGGAAAGGTAGGATGGTAGTAAAGGGCTTCGATTGCCTAATAGAGCATTTTGTATGTGATCCTGGAATCAACAGGGAGACACTAGAGTTATTGAATAGGGGGAGGTGTGTGTGACATGATAGGACCTGTGCTTGAGGAAAATCACTTTAGTGGCTGGATGGAGGATGGACTGAGGAATGGAGTGAGGAGAGACTTGAGGCAGGTAGATTCACCTTCAGGCTATTTCAATAATCCGGGTGTGAGGTTATGAAGACTATAGTAATACGTTAATGAAATTTAAAAAAATGTTAATACTTTGTTATCCCTTTATGAAATGTGAAGAGACTCTGATTGGATTGAAAAGGGGCCCTTAACTGACTAGGCTGCCACCACAGTGGAATTTGAGTTTGTCAGCTTGAGTGATTTTAAGACATAGTTGAGATGCATTCATCAGGAAGCAGAAACCTATCTGCCATGGAGACAGATAGAGACAGGAGCAGCACTGAAGGCAAAAAGAAGCTTTAAATAGTGACACCCTGGCAGCATTAGTAAGAGTCGCCTGGCTGCAAGAGACAACTAGCTGTGGTAGGCAACAGCTGAGCTGTGAGGAAGAGTAGACTCAGGAACTAAGTGTAGATACTCTGCCCAGGGAGAAGTGTAGCTTGAACTCAATGAGGAGACAAAGGACACCCGCTGGGCCTTGTGGTACCAAAGGTAGAGTTTCCTTTGTTACATGTGTTCCGTACATGTATGCCCCTTTACCTTTGTACTCTGCGTTTGTACTTTCTCTTCTCTCAGGTGCTTCATAGATTTGTGGGAGAGTGTGCTCCAGTTTTATTGGGGAGGGGGTGAGGAATGTTTTGTGACTATTGACTTGCCCAAATCTTATAGGCAGCAAATAGCAGAGCTGAGATTTGAACCCAGGTCGTCCGACCTTATTGGAGGAGGGCCTTTAAAGCAATGTTTCGCTCCAGTTGGAGGAGGGTCTTTAAGGCAGTATTTTGCTCCATGGAATCAAATCCTTTTTTTTTTTTTCAGATAATCAGCAGAAATAATCATGGTGGGATGTTATATTCACTACTCCTTTTAGTCAGTTGTGTAACTATAAAGATACAGTGTTATGCAGAATATAGCTTGCAAAAGCCTTGTGGCAGCATGTCATGTTAGATGTGTACTAGATTAGTAGTCAGAAGACCTGGGTTCAAATTGTGCCTCTGCCACTTTCTGGCTATTTGACCTTGGGAAAGTTACAAAACCTCTCTGGGCCTCAGTTTTCTTATCTGTGAAATAAGAGTGATGAACTAAATAGCTTCTTTCAGTTTTAACTCTATGATCGTATGATCTCTAGTTAAACCTTTATTGAAGCCTTCATTGTGCATATATGTTGTTTGCAAAGATATATAGAGATGGGCAAGCTGGCACATAGGTCGTTAGTTATTGATTTATCAAGGGTTGTTGCTGGCCATTTATCTGATCCTATTCAATAATAAGGATTAAGTATTGGCAGTTCTATGCTTACCCTGGCAATTATGCATTCCATACAACGCCAGAGGGTACTGGGGGAGATGTTAAATGCTCTGTTTTTCAGAGACTTGGCAACCTCTGTCACCTAACTCTGCTCCTCTTGTGGGTGGCCGTGCTGATTTTGTTATTCTAGAGGGTATGGCATATTTTTGTGTATTTATCCATTTAGACTTTATGGCTTATTCCTCCCACCCCTCACTGGGAGGAAACTGCTCTCCTAACTTTGGACTGTTTCAATGAAGCTATATTAACTATGTAGTTATAATGAATTCAATGTAGTTATAATTAATTCAATGAAGCTATATTAACTATGTAGTTATAATTAAACTATGTAGTT